GTTGAGTACCATTGGTCTTACCTGATCTTAAAAACTTCCAAGGATGGAAATTCCATAACCGCCGTGGACAACCTGTTCCAGTGCTTTAAGCATGAGCTAGCTGAACCATCTCAGGAGGTAGTGGAGTGCAGGGTAAACCTCGAGTTGTTAATCCTTAAGCTAGTGATACAGCAGCTCAGTTTACTACTACTACTGGTCAAGAGCTGTTTCCCTGTGCAGTGGCACTCAGATCAAGTGTACAAACTGGAGCTTGCTGCTGCACTGGCAGCAAGCCCAGAGAAGTGGGTTGTTCCTCCCACATGCATGCAGCACCGCCAGGCTGGGTTTCAGCAAGTCAGAGGGCTACCTCCTTGGAGCGCTTCACCAGCTGGCTTTATTTGTGCCTCTGCGTGGGATTCTTTTACTGCAATATTAAATTAAGAATTAATTATTTAATTTGTAAACCACAGGCAGGTTTCAAGACCCAGAGCTCCCGTGACTAGCAGCCTTTGCTACTAGATCGCAGTTTGGAGATGTAATAAGGACTAAGCACTATGCAGTAACCTCTTTAAGATTTTGCTGCATCAGGTCAAATTACCTTTTATATTTGTGTGTATGGGCTAGGGCCAGCCATAGCCATAATCTGAGCAACCTCACTGACTGCAGGGAGACCGGCAAAGAATACAATATTGCTTTACAGAAATCAGAGGGGCAGTTGTTGATGCTGTGTTAATTCTCCTTAAACTAGAGTTTGTAGTGTAACCATAGTGCATGTAATTGCCAGAGGTCATTCTGTTAGGGATTCAGTGAAAGGAGACTGGGCAGAAAGGTAGATATCAACTGAGGACACAGTGGGGGGCTGTTTGGGTTAGAGAGAGAAACTATTGCAGGAGAACTATGTAAACATCATACTGGAAACGTCCCAACTTGTGGCTCCTGCCTCAGTATTCCCACTGACAGGCCCCATGTGCAGAACATAAGATGTGCACCAGTGCAAATCACCCTGGGTAAACTGAGCATCAGCTCTTGTGGGACAGTCACAGCAGCCTGTTTTTACAAAACCTTGCACTGTGTGTTGGGGAGCATGTAGACTGCTACCTGGGAATAACTGCAGACACAAGGTACAGCTGACAGTTTCAGTCACAAGTACATCAAATCAAATGAGCATGAAAGAGAGAGTCCCAGTGGCAATTACATATCGTCACTAGCTCATCTCCTGATGTGTTAATTTCCAGTAAATATTTTCTGCAAATCACCTAGAACAGATTGTTACGGTCTTTTGCAGTTGTTTTGTGAAGTGGGAGAGAGGAAACTGGATGTAGTCAGTTTATGGCACTGGCTGAACACGCACCCAACAGCTGGCTGGGCAGGAGAGAACTTCAGGAACCTGACAAAAAAAAATCTTGTTTCAATTTCAAAATGCCAGCGTCTGTGCCCAGTGCCACAAAGCCACCCGCTGTTTAGTACCCAGCAGAGCCTTCATGCAAATAAGGAGGCAGGTCTAATTCCTGTTTTACACCAGCCTACTCTATGTGGCTGCCAGTGGCATTCAGGGACCAGATAACCACACTGCAGCAATGGTCTCTGAGGACAGATGCTGAAGGATGCTCGCTGGGAGCTTGTGTGCCTGAGGGCCAGGCTGGTTCAATTCTATCGATAGGCAGAAGTCTTTAGCGGGGCAATTCAACTTTTTTTTTCTGCAGGCTTGATGCCCACCTGTTCAGGAAACTCTTCAGGTGCTGGCATTACTAATCTGGGCTAATTCATGTCCCCTTTACTTATGGAATCTCCCCACAGGACAGCTGCACTGCTGAGCTTTAGTTTTATATAGCCGCATTAAAGATGTAGTGTACCCAGAGAGTGATTCCCATAGCAACCCTGGTATCACATGCTACAAATGGCACTTATGCAGCAGTGTATCTTTCTCTCTCTCTCTTTCTCTATGGAAACACACCCAACACAATGTCATTTCAGCAATGGTTCTTCATTTTTCTTGGTTGCTTTTTTCCTTTCTCATTCATTTCTTAGCTACATTTCTCTGGAGGCATCTCTGCATGGCGTCTCATTGGGAGAATTAAGTTGTTGTGCACCCAGAAATCTAAGGGAAAGGTTGTACTTGGAATGAACATTTGTGAAGTTGTTTGGTTTTTTGCTTTGAGGCCACAGCAAGAAAGCAGCTTCTTAAAACACATGCTAAGATTTATATTTCATTCAGTCTAGTTATTCCTGCTCCAATATTCCCTGAAACTTCCTGTCTGTGGTTCTGGGTCAGATATTTTTATATTTGACTGGCTGAATTGGGTGAGCTATACACTAACTCCTCCAAAATGAAGTGCAAAATTGAAGTAATTTGGAAAAAAAAGTATGCAGCCTAAAGCAAACCCCCAGTATTTGTGAATTAGCACACTTCTTGGAGTTGCTACAAAACACCTTTCAGTGACACTGGCAGACAAGGTTCCTTGGGTGAATCTGATATCTTTTATTAGACCAACTCACATAGTTGGAGAATAGTTATTAAGCAATCTTTTGGGTTCAAAAATCCTTCGTCAGGCTAAGGAAGTTTCAGCAGTTGGTGTGTGCTCTTCCTACACCCCTGCTTTCAGTGACATTAACTTTTATTGTTTACCCCTCAACAGAGTCACTGCTAGTTTCTTATTTAATGCAATTCAATTCTGCTTGATTTTTCCTGACAGATCTGCAGCTTGATGAGAGGTGGAATAGCTGAGAGGGGAGGGGTCAGAGTAGGACATCGTATTATTGAGATCAATGGGCAAAGTGTTGTGGCCACTGCTCACGAGAAGATAGTACAAGCCTTGTCTAACTCGGTGGGAGAGGTAAGAATATACTCACATAAGATAGTTTATCAAAGCACTGAAAGAGGTGAGTGAAAAGATCTATAGATTTGTGTTCCTGCTGTTGAAATCAATGTAGTGTTAGAACTGCATGAAAGATCCAAGTCTATAAATCAGAGCTGGAGAAACAACCATACATTTTAAAGCAACTGGGGCCACCTTATGTGGATTTTTACTGTTAATTTTCAAGAAAGATCACTGATTCTGAAGTTTCATGGCACATATTCCAGAGAAGTGAAGACTTCTGTGGTACATCACAGCCAAGACCTATGAAAAATGTCCCCATTTCCACCTCAGATGTTTCAGTGATAAGCTACATACATTTTCAAAGATTGAAAGATTCATGGTGATGCATATTGTCATCCTTTCATTTTTGTTGCATCTCTCTTGCTTTATTTGGGAATCATTTTGTAGACTGAAACATCTGTCACCATTCATTGGCACATTTGGCAACATTAGGGACTAACACAGAAGATGATCACAAACACATATCTTGGGATGGAAGCAGTCATGTGGCATTTACATCAGTGTCATTTTATACCATGTTCAGTAAGGTATGGGCTAGCTCAGGGGTTGACAACCCCTAGCACACGTGCCAGTGCCTGCATTTCACTTGGCACACGTGCCTCGGGGCGGATGGTGGGGAAGGGGCTGGGTCTGTACTGCCACAACAAGCATCGTGCTCCTCACAGCTTCCCACCATCCGCCCGTGGCATGCCAACATTTGAGAAGTCTGGGTTGGGGTGTTTTTAAAATATTCACTGAGGTGGGATTGGAGTTCAAGCTAATGTCATGTTGCTACTGGAGCATTACAGGCCTCCTACTATAAAATCCAAGGTGGCAAGTTGATTATTTTGCCCCAGGTTTTAGGTGGTTTGTTAAAGTGGTGCTAGATTTGTTGCAGGTGCTAGAAACAACTGTCAGTAATAAAACCTTTAGCTACCTCCCACCCTTCATATTTCCAAGGCATGTGTTGCGCTGTAAATTAATATATGGAGCAGCTGCATCCTTTGGCTACTTGGTATCTTTCATTGTTTCTATTAAATGCCAACCACCCTTGCTTTTCTGAATGAAAGTGGCACTCCTTGTAAATCCCTGATTTAGTAGGAATGGGGGTACTTGTTCTGAACACACTTGAACATCGTGGGTGGTACAATCCAAGCTGAATGCTTAAAGGTTTACATTCTGCTTTGGAGAAACTGTGTGTGTAAGGAGTGAGTGGTGGTAAAGAGATGAAAATTTAACGCCAGTCAGTATTGGAGCAAGCAGGGGATATGTTTTCTTTTCCTTTATCTGGGCTGTGCTGATAGGAAAAAATTGGCAACAGGTAGTATTTACTGTCTTTGGCCAGCCTGATACTGTGTCATTTAAAGCACACGAACACACACACAGACACCCTACCTCAATTTTAACAATGCTATTATTAAATATTGTGTAAATCAATTGACAGATTCATATGAAGACTATGCCAGCTGCAATGTTCAGGCTTCTCACTGGACAAGAGACACCCCTGTACATCTAGCACGAAGCTCTCTCAACAAAAGAACTGATTCCAACAAAGTCTTCACAGCTGAAGAGAGTTTTGTATTTTCTAGGAGTGAAAGGTTTTGAAACAGGACCTGAAGATTCTGAAAACTGAAGGGACAGGCTTCTCTGCCTTCTTTCTTTTCTTTTTATTTCTTTGCCAAAAAGTGATGACCATCTTTATCCAGGACAATAATCACTGACAAAATCTTTGTAAAACATTTAAGTATTTTGCAACATCTTCTAAACCCTTTTCTCATTGAAACTTAAACATATTTATTTGTAACCTTTATGTGGTGTGACGTATGTTTGTCTGTCATGTTTGATAATGTGGTGAATGTGAACATTTGATGAGTGAGACTTCAGGAAACTGACTACAAAATTAAGCAATTAAAGTAATGGTCAAAACAAATTAAAACAAATCTCAACTCCATAAAGTGGTCCAACACTTCTGGTATTACATAACTTAAAAACTGGACAGGGCTAGATGGTGTTTCAGAAATTTCAGTGAATAGGAATGTGTGCAATTAAAGCTATTAGATTCTAATGGAAAGAAAACAGCTGTAGTACTTGGTATCATTATGACAAGTGTAACCTATAACTGCGAGTTTGGCAAGGTGTGAATATAAATGTGTAAAAGAGTGTCTTGTATGTGAAATAAAGAATTGCCACAAGATAAAAATCAAAATATTTATTTAGATACATATTTATTTTTAATGTTTAATTTAACAGGACACCTTCTCTAGAACTTAACTTGTTCTAGTTTGTGCATGTGTGTTTTTGTTCATTTTATCCTTCTTTTTTAATTACCTTTTGGATTCCATTAGCTCAAACTGGGAAAGCCATGCTTACCTGTCGTTGTCTTTTATAAAAGCATTCTTATTCCTGAGGCAATTTGTTCTGAATGTAAATTGTTTCTGGCAGCTGAGGAACTAGCACCATCCACAGTATTAGAATGTGCATAGCTAACCTAAGTAGTAGTAAAGTTGTACTTGTTATGAGATCAGTGTTAATTGATGTAACATTTTGTCTAGATTTTTTGGCCAAGAAGAAAATACACTGTGACTTAAGAAGCCTTACCATGCAGTAATTAAAAAGCTTTAGGATTACTGTACGTCAAGGAGTAACATGTTGCATGCAACTGACCTTAGGAAAGAATTAATCTAATATCACTAATAAATCTGGAGTAATAAAGAAAACTTGCTCATTTTGTTTGTTCTGTTGATAAGTTTACAGAATTTAAAAGCCTGTCAGAACTATCCCTGTTTAATTCTTCATCTAAGTGCAGTTGCAAAGAACGGAGATAATTGATCTCTAACAGAATTCATCCTCCTGCCTTGAAGTAAGAATTAGGTTGTGGTGAATTATCTACATTATATTAAAAAATAAATGTGAATGGGTCCTTCCCATTACAGCATGCCTTCTGCCACTGGATGGCACTGTAGCTTCACACCAACACTGTTGACATAGTTATTACTTTAAATACTGATGGCTGAAAAACTAAACCTCCCTATCTCTAGCTACACTCCTTTGTGACCTTTCCACAGGATGTATGCCAAGTTCAGAATGACACAAATGAAAATAATGGAATGATTAAATCCCAGAGCAGTGTTTCTAATGGAAACTAACACTCTTGACAAACACTGCTACCAAAAGAATTTAAAGAAATTTCAAATGATGCTGGATTCCTTATGAAAACACCGTATTTAAATCCTTTCTTGTTGCTAGCGAACACTAAGAGTTGCAGTCTGCACTACTGTATTCTTTAAGAAAGACACTTTCAGGCAAGTGTCTCTTTAGAACAATAATCAAACTTGAAGTGACGGGTTCTGGTTGAGGCTTTTTGAGAGCAATATTTAATTCCTCAAAAGTGCAAAACCGCAGGGAGGAGATTTTAGTAATAAAACTCTCCATGCTAATAAACAGAATAAAGAAGTCAGAGAAAGATGAAGGCCCTGTTGGATAGCAAAAGCACATCTAGTTTCGGGTCAGTGGTTGCTTGTTTACAAAAGGTTATGAAAGTCAGCTGGTTAGGGAATTCAGCATTGCAGAGGCTTCCTCCCTTGTGAAAAATCATTTGTAGTGAAACTGCAACAGCATCTCCCACATCATCAATAAACTCATGAGCATTCAGAGCAAAGCAGAAATAAATCATGCTGCAGCCTTTACTAGAATTTGAAAAATGGCAAGGCATTTAGAGGAAAAAACAGCTATCACAGGGCAGAACAATCTGCCTGGCAAGCAAGAGTCTGTACAATTGGGCACAGAAAGAAGGGACCAGGGGAAGCACCTTTCACACCTGTAATAATAAAAACAAATCTATATTTCTACCCAAATCAGGTTTTACAGAAGCAAAGTCCAGAAATACTTTTTATTAAAACACTGATTGTAGTTAAAACACTGTGAGGTACATTAAATAAATACAACTTGCACGTTGTGCAACAGGTCTCTTGTGGTTTGGTGGTGGTTTTCTAGAAATACTGCATAGCCGCAGCAGTATCTCTACCAGAACAGTCAAATAAACGTTTTTCTGCTTGGGAAAACAGTTCTTACAAGTTTAATAATAAATTGTGTAAAATGCAGGGGTTACATTTACATTCAGAAAAAACATGGATGTCCTCCTGCTGTTCGATAAAAAGTGGAATCCAAAAAAGAAGAAGTTTTCCTTTTTAAGCCACCCACTATTTGCATTTCCTCATGTCCTTCCCAAATTTCTCTTTTGCTGGCATGAGCCTTTCTTCACATACCTGTCAGCTGTTATCAAAGAATAGTCTCTCGGCAAACTCCGATTAAAGTGTGAGGCCTGTCCCTCTCTAAACTGCGAGTGATATGAGACCTACGTAAGAAGGCAACTGGAGAACTCAAAGCACCACAGCTCTGCAGGTGAAGCTCTTCTTGAAGTCGCTTTCTAGAGGTATTCACATTCTGCTGAGAACTTGTCATGACCTATTTAAAGAATAGAGAGAGGACAATAACTGTTTCTGTTCAGAGATTGTCATCTGTGTAGTCATTTTATACTCACTGTTTTATTAAATTTTACATAATAGAGGGACTACTAGGGACTAGATGTGCTCTTATATAACCCTCAAAAGGTTGGCCCACAGAGGATACCAGCCTATATCCAGTAGAAGGGACTGTGCTGTTGCTGCTGGGACCCTGGTGCTTTCTTTCATTGTAGGTCAGCATATTGTAGGTAGGAACAGAAAACATTTCCCCACCTCTTCCTTTTAAGATGACAATGAAATAGGTTCTGGAGGCTTGCTAATTGGTTAGTCCTATGTAACTCCATGTGTCAAGCCTGGGTCTAACTTGGGATGACCTCAAGCTTTTCTACCAGACAGATTCTTCCTGTAATCTTACTATAGCAAGTGTAGCATACATTTGGTTGGGCATAGAAGAAGAGGAGTAAGTGAGGAAGGGGTTTGCCTGAATTACTACTACCTGGGCTTGTCTGCATGAGACGTTTACCTTGAGCTGCCCAGTTAGCTACAGAGTAAACATTTCAGTGTCTACACATGTGGCCCTATTAGGCCGTAGTAAACTAATAAACTGTAGTAAATATAAGTATTACCCTGCTGCAGTTTTTTAGTGTGCCACAGTGCATGTGTAGCTGCTGACTTGGCTGGCTGAGGCATGAGAGTGCTTCAGTGCAGGGAATAACTGTTATGCTACACCTGTACTGGAGCACCCGCATGCCCCGGCCAGCCCTTCTGCCAGCACGTACCCTGTACTGTTTGGTGACTAGAAAACTTGAATAAAACGGCTTTTTTTTGAAGCGGTCATCTGTCTTCATGGATCTCAAAAGCTCACACTTGATAAAAATTGCACTATTGGTTTCTGTTTTTACTATCTGTATAAAACACTAATTCATCTTTGGTAGGTTTCTTTGTGAGAAGTTATAGTTTTGCATTAAAAACCTAGTACACTGATTTCAGCTTTCTAACCTTTGGGAGTTAAAGATCTATAATGTTAGAAAGCAATAAATATGTTAATGGTACAGCATCATTGTGCAATTAATTCTAAGCATCTCAGGATATTACTGCTTTCCAGGCAGCATTGTACTCTGAACCAGTATTCCACTTTGTTCTGCTTGGCAGCTAGCAAAAGACCATCTTGCTCTCAATACCGTACATTTTCTACTGCACATCAGTTTCTCTCACAATGCTGTTTAGCTGTTACCATCCATTTTTAAGGATGCAAGGTGTTGACATGCTCCGGGAGAGGGAGGAATGAAGAGCAGGCAAATGCTACGGAGACGACATCTAGAATAGGCAGCTGCTCCCATATATCCATGCTGCTCCCATGTACCCATGCCATCCCTCCACCCAGGTATGTAAGAACCTTAGGATCTTACTAAATGTGGGTTAGCCTGTGTCTGTGTGCTACCTGTCTCTATTACATTGCGGGGAATACACTCCTTTGTATTGTTGATATTTTTGTAACACAAAAAAACCTAATAAACAGCCAGTCCTGCAGCCTTATTCAAGTAAAGCCCCATTGAAATCAAGGCCTTCAAAGTTTGGCTGTTAAAAAACATGCAGTTCATCTGTGAGATTACAAACTGCACTACATAGCTCTCACCATTCAGTCCCTTTGTTTCTATGGTCCCTTCCAAGCATTTCAGCCCAACTTTATTCCTCAGTCAAATGCGTAAAGATCCCTTACGCCTTCATTCTAAGAGCTGTAAGAATTCAGTATTTGAGTCAATCCCTCAATTTTTGTAGTCTGTATACAAACAGACACCCCTCTGCAAATATCTTCTCCACTCCCACCCAAGGTTATATTTGGGGTGGACAAAGTTATAAATAGGTGGGCGTTCCCTCCATATTTCTTTGAATATCATTAGTATTAGTTCCTGCTTTGTGAAGCAAAAGACCATCTTCAAATTTGTCTTGTTCACTACAAAAAAAAAAAAAAAAAGCTTGGCCTGCCATTAAAAAAATACAAACCCAAAGTCAAGTATGCTAGTAAAAGTATTCTGCATGATTTAATCAGTTGCTTTTATTTTATATTGGGTTATGTGTTTATCATAGTTAAATAAAGGCATAAAAAACCATAATGGACCTTACCTGGTCTATAATGTTGGCACTGAAGATGGCTTCTTCCATGTGTCTTTCATCCGATTTAATTACAGATCTAATGCTGTTCACGACGTGTCGTACTTCTGGGGGGAGATTACAATTTGAATGTTCCAAAAACTTAGCCACTAAAATTTTTGTGTCTTTATAGGCCTTAAGATCCACTAATGAGTGTGGTCGTTCTTTGGAGATGGTCTGTAAGGCCTTTGGCTTTAACTGTTGATCAGCTTTTCTTGGATCGCTAAATTTTCCAGTTGATAAGAAACGGCTTGTAGAGTCCTGGCAAGCAGAGGCAGCCATATGAGAACTAGAAACAGGAACTAAAAATAAAGGGGGGAAAATGTATCTTTAAAAAAAAAACAGCCAGCAAAGAGACAGGTGTCAACTCAAACTTGAACAGAATTTAGCTTGAATATTATCATACTTCTGTTACACCCTCAAAAACACCGATCCAAGGCAAAGTTAAACATTACACATCAGCATTACTGGGGACAGGTCTGCCGACACAGCAAAACCAGTATTGACAGTGTCAAGACAAGCGTTCTTCACCAGAGCCAAAATGGACCACACTGGGGACGGAGGAAGGTTACAAGCCTGCCTGCTAGTCCTGCTAACTACAGTTTCAATTGATATTGTGCATGGGGACATATATCCATTAAAGACAGGACTGAGACGAACTCGTTTACACACATCTGCTGCCCCATGCAATTGATAAGGTTTAAGTCGTAGCTGTACAATAAGGTTCACAGCAGTCCTGGTCAGCCTGACGAAAGCCTAAGACTTGTGATGGCCAAAATAATTGTATTTCAAAGTGAAAAATGAGTCAAGGGTTTGGGAAAATAGAGCAGAAGCCACAGCTAGGCTAAAATTGAGTTCAAGGTCTCCATTCCACTTCAGCATTGGCTTTTACTCAAACTACTAGAAAAAAAATAACAGCCATGTGGTTCTGCTGCATTATAACTTCTATCAGGGAGCTCTGCAGCCATCCCTCCTGTGATGCTGTGGGAAAACTCACCTTCCAGGGAAAACAATAATGAAGCACTAGAGGAAAAGAAAAAAATAGTTTCTTATGCCCCAGGTTCAGCACTATAACCAGACTGGGAGCATCTGGATCTGGGAAAGGGAGCACTGCCATGGAAATGGTGATGTCAAATATTATACATAATTTATGCATGTTGTTATTAACAGATTGGGGAGAAATGATTCACAATGGCTCAACCACAGTGCTCACTTGGAGGCTTGGCTTATTTATATAACAGAAAAGCAATCATAATCCTACTTTAGGATACTGATCCTCACCTGTCTCTACTGCAGCCTGAGATAATCCTGCTTCCTGATGCTGGCTCCATGTAGGAGCACAGGCACAATTATCACCTTTAATCAGAGCAGGGAGGGGGGGAAAAAAATCTGTTATCTGCTGTTGAAAGGAAAGGGGGAAAATGCATAGTCTGTCTTTGCATCAGCAATAAGTTTTACTGTCTCTTCCTCCCCTCCATCCCCCTCCATCTCCCCCCACAAAAGAAGTGGCATGAATGGCATTATTGTTAATATGCATGTAAAACAAACATAACCGATAAACAGGGACCAAGTATGTGCAAAAATAATCCTTAGTCCAACTTTCAGTTCCAGAGTTTCTCCCCTATTGTTTGTAGTCTTATATGCATTTATGAAAGTCCACACCTTAAATATCATAAGGCTAATTACGAGTATTGTGAGGGCACAACTCCTCTGGGAAGCAAGCCCTACTGCATTTTCTCAGCAGACCCAGAAGATCCTGTAGGTAGCAGGAGTCAGCAAGAGCTGAGTGCTGTTTAACAGTCGCACCAACTTTTTCCAAATTCTGCCTGATGCAGGCAAAGCTGCCTGTACTACTGAGGTTAGGTACTAGGTGTGTCCTGAAGAATGATCGCTCCATCTCTTACCAGAGCATCATTTAACTTACAGAGTGTTCCAAAAGCATGTGCAAGCACATCCAGTGGTACCCTGCCTTTTAATGTGGGCATCTAGGATGCCAACACAATGATGCCACATAATTTTTGCCACCTCAGTCTTTTTGATTTAAAACAGGCATTTCAAACATATGGCCTGCTGGCTGGATCCAACCCGTGAAACCAGCCTGTAGGTCGCTGGACCAACCCCATGTGCTGGCCATGGCCCCATGACCCTGCCCTTCCTGGCACGGTGCTTAATTTTAACAAAGAAAAAAATAAAACCAGTTTTCTGGGCTTGGGAAAGTCATAAGGAAATTAAAAGTGAGGGCTACTACTTTGTCCTTACCATATCCCCTTGTGCCTGTGTCCTGTGACACTTGGCATATGGCTCTCCAGTGAAGAGGAGAGGTTTTTCAAGGTTTTTATCCTGAGGTTATCTTGCAACCTTTACTGTATTGGTAATGCATGATGTACCTGTGATAAAGCAAAACGGGCGGTAAAAACTACCCTACTCTTTGCTGCAGCTGTCACTATTGTAAATGGCAGCAAAGGATGGGGTTACTTTGGTCTTGTCTACTCTAGCACTGATTTTTTGGGAGTTAACATAGCAGAGTTAACATAGATGCAGCTCATACTAGCAAGAGGCCATCATTGTAGCTGATATATAACCTTTCCTTGGATACAGAAATAGGTATTGCTCAGAGCCTGGCAGAATATAAAGGCACCCACTACACCAAAGGCATGTGGTTTATCATGCCTCTGTCTGCAACAGTAGCTTCCCTACTAAAAGAAATCTGACTTTCAGCATGAGGGGGCAAATGAGAGACTACTGCCCAAAGAGCCCATAATGTGTCCCCTAAGCTTGTTTGGGGACACACAGTTCTATGGATTTTGACACAAAAGTCCATAAAGGCTTAAACTTCCTTGGAAATAGTGACATTCTCGATTATTAACACATTGAACATAATGGCTGTTGAGTCACTGTGGCTACTACGCTATAACATTTGAGGCTGGAAACTAGTTGCTATGCAATTGTAGTAGCATCACAGACATTCAACATCAAGGGTTATGATTATAGAACACCTGGCAGATATCTTGAGGAGAGAAGTAACAGCTCTAACTAATATTTTTCTTAGATTTTTCTCCATCATGATAGCATAATTTCTCCATCATTTCTCTCCTGAGGAATATTGAGAACAGTGAGGCCATTCTCACTGTTCTCAGTGGTGGCAGATGACAGAACAAGGAGCAATGGTCTCAAGTTGCAGCAAGGGAGGTTTAGGTTAGATATTAGGAAAAACTTTGTCCCTGGGAGGGTAGTAAAGCACTGGACCAGGTCACTGGAGAGGTTGTGGAATCTCCGTCTTTGGAGGTTTTTAAGATGCAGCCAGACAAAGCTTTGGCTGGGATGATCCAGTTGGGGATGGTCGTCCTTTGAGCTGGGTGTTGGACTAGATGACCCCCTGAGGTCCCTTCTAGCCCTAATGACTCTAACCCACTATGATTCTAGGCTCTGCTGCCTTGCTGATCCTGTGTCCCCCACTCCTAAAATCACTGGGTTTTTCTCACATTCACTTCTTCCCTGGCTGCTTATGTCTTGCTCCCATGCTCCAATCCCTGATAGGTTTCCCAAATTTCAGTTCTCTTTATAAAGACCCTAGATCTGTGGTTGTCATTAGATGTTACCTTTGCCACATGTTACATGCTCTCCAAACAGGAGTGTCCGTGCATGACAAGAGGAGCTATGTGCCCTCTGAGCCTCTCAGAGTTACACTGCTTTGGGTGACAATTATCTCCAGCTAGTGTGAGGCAGCTCGTGTTGCAGTAACATCAGTCTGCTCCACGGGGCCAATACCAGCACCCTGCAGACCACCAGTACCCCAGGATGCACCACTCCCAGGTGCCCCCGCCTACATGGGTGATTTATTGTACAGAACTCTATTTTCTTGGGTTGACAAAGCACCAGGGAGAGCTGGACATCTCCAGGAAAGGGTGGGGGTGGGTGCAGGTGAGCAGGGAGACCTCTAGGGTATTAGAGCTATGCATATTAGTGTATTAAACCTTAAAGCATAACTGATCTCAGCACATGCTAACTGTTATACTGCCTAACTTTCCTTAGAGTTAGCATATGCAAATTGTAACATATAACAAGAGCATGTCTCTCCCCTATGTAAACCAACTTGACCAAGGCTCACTGAATGCACATTGGTCAGCCTAAAGCATCAGACTGGCATCTCAATGATCACTGATAAACTCTACAATTCCCTAATGCACCTGCATCATCCATTTCAAGAGACCCAGACCAGGCCAGATGAAGCTCGAGGGGCTGCTACACGTCATTAGAAATGTATTTGTTTAATGTGATTTTCAACTAATGTTCAACAAGCTCTTTATCAGGAAGTGACAGGATGGGGTCAATGTTATGACTAGGAATGGAAACCTGAAGGAGAGAGATTTTTTGAATATGGGCCTGTTGATCAGTGTGCAGTTACTCACCTTTCTTTTCATTTAAACTCTTGTGTTTCTTCAAGGGGGATTTAATTTTAAAAAATGAGCTGTTGATAATTAGAGAACCTCCTATGAGGTCGATGAGCATAAGAGAGATTCCTGTATGGTAAAATTCCTCCACACACACATTTATCCTGCTGTCTTCAAAATTTTCATTTACAGTCCCTGCTAAGCAGAATACAAACTCAATAATGTCTGAGTCCAATTTTCAGACCCATGAGGTTCAAGAGGTTTGGAAATCACACAAAATGAATTTCTCTAGCCTAATGAGAGTTCAGCAACCCCTGATTTCTAGAGCAGATGATGCATATATTTGGGAGATGCTTTAAGAATGAAGCGAGAGCATCTGTCATGGCATATGTGGGCATATGTGCCAGTGGGCAGCTGTAGGAACACACAGAAGAGACTAATCAAATCAGGTCCTCTGCCAAACTCTACTCGGCAGGAAAACAACAGGGATTTAACAATATAGTGTACATCCAGGTTATTGCCTTTGATGATGCCTGTGCCTTTCAAACAGACATAGACACTTATACTCTGTTATCCTTCAGACAATTTATTCCCTGCTGTAACAAATATTCTCTTGCAAAGTAATAAACTGATTTTTATGAAGGCCCTGAATCTTGCTAACAAACACCTCTCCCTCGCTTGGGGGCTTATATCAGAAGAGGTTAATCTGAGAAAGCCAAAGGCTGTCTACCTTACCCACTGCCTTGCCGTTCTCCGCAGCACTTGAGCTCCCCATCCCTCTAACATTTACCACTACACAGTTGCACAATACTTGCTTCTTGTAGAGAGAGACATTATTCCTGTTAAAAACAGTGTTGCCTCAGGAAAAGAGAACTGGGGCACAGCCGTGGCTTCGGGAAAAGAGAACGGGGCCACCCCCTGCCATATGCTACTTACTATTCACAGCCACCCAGTTATACCCAAGCATCCATTCAACTCTTAGATTTGGTGATTACTGCGACAGTATCAGACAGGTGAAGACAACTGTCCGTTATATGCCAGTAAAATTTAGAAAACTATTGTTAATTGCACCCAGTAATTTTTACCTTGCATTTGTTCTTTCTAAAATTCCTAAATTTATAAGCAACTAAAACCTGTGTGTGTGAATCACCCTGCCTCAGAAAGCTTCCTATAACATCCAACTGCAGGACATCTACTTGTTTGGTCCCACACTGGGTTTTTTTTTCCTGGACCACACTCACCTTCTGTGCTGGATGAACAAGAAACAGGATCACTAGTAGATCGGACTATATTTGAAATTCTGTATTTTCTAATGCGATGCTGTTGGGCAGTTCTCTCGGGGCAGCCAGACTGCCATGAAGCATGTGCAGGCACAGAACAGGGAGAGGGCTGAGAGCGTACAGCAGCAGGCTGACTAAAGACCCCACAACACATTTTCATTTGTTTCAAGGGTGGCGTGGCTTTGTTTTCTCTAATGGAGCTCTGGGATTCTCTTTCTGAAGGGCTGTAGTTCTCTGAGGAGCAGTCTGAGGATTTGCCATGAGTACAGTTCTCATAATCCTGGCCTTGAGGCCGGTCCATAGAGCCTCTGCTATGGGAACTGCCATCCTCATCAGGGGAACACTGTGAGTTAGTCCTGTGAATACTGTGATCCAAACTGGTGCAGCTCCTGTTTGTAGCTCCTTTGCATCTTGTGCTGTAGGGTGAAAAGTCTGCAGAGCGGAGAGATCCCTGAACTTCCAGAGAGCACAGATCTTCTGAGGAGTAGCTATGATCTGGGATATCAGCCACCTCAGAGACCATCAGAGAGGCACTGTCAACAGAAACTGCAAAACAAGGAATTTAGAGTATTAGCATATTGCAGTGCTGCATGTTATTAGCATTCATTCTTTTATACGCCAGAGAGATGCCAGTGCTATACAAGACACAAAATGAAGGCAGTCCTCTTCCTAAAGAGATAATGATCTCAATGTTCAACTCATTAAACTAAATCAATATCTTAATAATAAAGATGCTAATAAGAAGGCTTAATATATTATAGATGGCCAAATGACAGGGAAAGAAAGACTGGTGTCAACCTCCTGCTTTAGTATGTCAAACAAAATGCTCTGGGCTGCTCTTATCTATTGTCTTCAGCTCATAAACATCCTCAAAAGGCAGTACCATACTATATTCTCCTACCACAGCAGGAAAGCAGCCCTTTTTCTGTTGGTTTCTTAAAGATTTAACATGAGAGATTGTGAAAGGGGTATGAACAACACTTTACACAGATATTCAGAAACCAAGACTCTGATCACAGATTTACACCTATCAGTACTAGCTTTGCACCTAGCACCTTGCAGACAGACATCACACAGCTGAAATATACATCAAAGAGCTTTCCAGAAGAGAATCCACCCTTGTGCCACATCTCTATCATACAAAACACAGAAGGCATCAGAGTTTTTTTTTTGTCTCTTTGCTTCAGACAGAAGCTTGGCATTCTGTGCAGAAATACGTCATCATCAAAACCCCTGAACCAGATTGTTATGCACTTTTTCCAGGACACTACATGAAAATGTGTCTGGACAAAGCCATATTTTCCTCTGCTTTGTTACCAGAATTTATTTCAAATAGCGAGGAAAAGAAACCCTTTCGGTGGGAAAAACATAACTATGCCTGTGACAAGATATTTTCTAGGGGTGTGCGAAACAGGCCATATTCGATTCAGATTCAGCCCAAATCAGGGACAGTGATTAGATTCGTTGATTTGGATCAATGTCCCAAATCAATTCGGCCAAATCTGAATCTGAAGATTCAATGCTGATTTGGAGAATCAGTTATCTGGCCATAGGCACGGCTTTAAATGTTTTTTCTACATACCTCGAGGTACCAGGTGTGGCTTGTGAATGCTGAGATGGTGGGGTGGATGGACCCCTGCCCCGCACCTCACTTGGCTCGACAACTGGCCATGGGGAGACCCCAGGTACCTCCCAGGACCCAAGAGGCATCAGTTACTGAGCTGGGGGGCAGAGACCATGAAGCCTGCCAAGTTTCAAGAAGATCAGTGCAGGGGCTTGGGGGGAACTGTACCCCAAATTCTTGAAAGCAAAACTCATGTCATGTGTGTGTGTTACAACACAGGGGGATGAAAACTGCTGGGGTGGTGGCTCCTGGTGAGGCCAAAAAGCCTGCCAAGTTTCAAAAAGATCGGTGCAGGGGTTTGGGGGGAACTGCGCCTCAAGCTGCAGACAAGCAAAACTTGTGCCATGTGTGACTGTGTGTTAAGGCACAGCAGGATGAAAGCTGCAGGGATGGTGGCCCCTGCTGTGGCCCTGAAGCCTGCCAGCTGTCAAGGAGATTGGTGCAGGGGGGTTCTGGGGCCCTGCACCACTAGCTGCTGATAGACAAAACTTGTGCCAGGGGTGCTTGTGCAACTGACTGTCTCTGTCTTGGGGCAGTTGATTGTCTGTATTGATTCTTTCCTCTCCTTAGTCTCTGCTTTTGTAGGTGTTATTGATGGTAATTAACTGGATACATTAGCTAGGTACTGTGTATTGAGCTGGTGATTGATTGGTAACTAGTAACACAGTAGCTTAGCAGCCAGGCCTGCAGTAGCGTCTCCCGTGCCCCAAGACAGAGACAGTTAGTTGCACAAGCACCCATGTCATGAGTTTTCACTGTCAGCAGCCAGAGGTGCAGGGCCCCAGAGCCCAGAAGCCCTGCACCTATCTTATCGACAGCTGGCAGGCTTTGTGGCTGCAGAAGGGGCCACCACCCCTGCAGCTTTCACCCTGCTGCACCTTAACACACACAGTGTCACTCATGTCACGAGTTTTGCTTGCCCGCAGCTTGAGGTGCAGTTCCCCCCAACCCCCTGCACCCATCTTCTTGAAACTTCGCAGACTTTGTGGCCTCAGTCAGGGCCATCACTTCTGCAGATTTCACCTCCCTGTGATGTAACACATACGCGTGACATCAGTTTTGCTTTCAAGAATTTGGGGTGCAATTCCCCCCGAACCCGTGCACTGATCTTCTCAAACCTTGGCAGGCTTCATGCTCTCAGCAGAGACTACGATCCCTGCAAATTTAATCCAAATCAGACAAAAAACAACAAAGTTATAGATATTTCATTTTTTCTTCATTATACCCTATGGCTGGATTTCCAAGGTGGCTCTGAAGCTTTTCTGAATCACTTTGGAAAGCCTAACGAAGCCAGTGCTTCGATCTGGACATGCTGCTTCAGGCACCAAAGCGCCCAAAGCTCCAGATCTGAAGCACGGTCTGAAGCCTCTCACAGCCCTAGTCTGTATATCCTGGTTAGAGCTGTTTGGACCCACTTGCCAGCATAACTCAATGGCCTCAGACTGTCTTTACACTTTCTGACTGTTTGCTTGGTACAAAAAAAAGTGGGAATCATAAAATATAGATAGTGCAGGAATAAATGCTCTAAACACTTAGGTACACAGCTAGAATGTGCCATTTAGGTGTGAAAAGGGAAAAAGAATACCACCGAGAGAACTTACTCTCTTGAAAATAAGTGTATGAATGAATCACTGATGCCACCTTAACTGGAACATCATATATAATTTGAATAAAAAACAGTAAGAAAAAACAGATATCTGGTCATTACAGTGATCCAATTTATTCAGTTTCAACAAAAATAAAGCATCGGCTATGAAAATATTTGAAAATTCCTTATAAGAACATACTTAGTAACTGGTCTCCTTCCATTGTCAGCATCACACAAAAATGTCGAAGCAAGCAGTTCTGTTTAAAGAATGCTTAGTGCTAGAGAAAGGTGAGGGACTAAGAGTAGAAACAGCTGTTGTCTTTGTGCTACCTAAAAAATTTCAGGGCAGCACAAAGTGACAGCATATAGATGTCTAAACCTTTTGTCCCACCACAATGTGACTGCAAAAAAGGTAGTAATAAATTATGTCACTTTATTGCAGTAAATATTTACTTGTTTCATGGTGGGAGAGTGTGGGTAGTCAGGACCCGGCAGCACTTTCCTGCCACTCTGGGCAGGTACTTGTTGGGCTTGAGGGGCCCAGTCTTGCATGCCTTGGGAATTCTTGCATAGAATCAGGCCCCTCAAGCCTGGAAAGCACATGCCCAGCATTCCTTGCTTCCAGAGATGTGCCCCAGCAATCTGTGGTGCATGCCTGGATATCGGGAACGTTATGGTTCTCTGATTCCAGATACTTGCTCTGGAAATTTCTGGGGACATGTCTCTGCAAATAGATAACTCCACCATTGCCCACTTCCAAAGACATATCCTATGGATCCTGGGGCAGACATGTCTCTGGAAGTGGAGAAAGCCAGGACCCTCTGGTGTGGTTCCAGGGCTGGTTGAAGGTTTCCTGCTTCCACAGACATGTCGCCAGGATCCTGGGAAGCAGTGGTGTTATCTGCTTGCAGAGATGTGCGCCCCAGAAATCTTCAGGAACCCCAGAGATAGCCTAGAAGTGGGGAACATGCCACCCATTGTCCCACAAGATCAATGGGTGGGACAATGGGCGATGCGTTCTACCCAACAAAGTAGATCAGTTATACCAGTGCAAATCCCAACAGAGCTCATCTAATTCCTTTGGTGATGTCTATTTCTAGACTGACAGCTCAAAAGATTGATGGTTATTCACAGAACAGGCACACCATGGGTAGTACTACACTGATCTGTGGTGTGTTCCAGTTCTGTTTAGGAGGGTAGGTTAGATAGAATAGAAAGCATGCTACAAATTCAGACTTTATACTGAAACTCAAAAAGGGTGCTCAGTTTTATCCAGATGCAGATTGATGGTGCTGGCTATGAAATGGACACCTATCTCCCGGAAAGCAGATTGAGACAACCTGCTACCTAGTTTTGCATAACCCTCAAGTAATAATTTGGTCATTTAAGATGAATCAGGGATCATAATCAGGGATTCTAGATTTCCATTAGCCGTGGAAAACTGTGGAAAAAATATGGATCTACCAAAAGCATGGCAGTGTCTTGCAGTGAGTGGCACCATTTCTGCTCTCTTATTTTTGCTACGGTTTTTGCCTCTCGGCCAATAAGCAACAGGGCTAAGAGGGGAGCACTGCTGATTGACTGAGAGGCGAAAACTAAGGCTGTGTGAAATTTCACCAGCTGTTTTGATTAGACACTGTTTCAACTCATTTCAAGCTCGAAACAGCGAAATCAAATTGAAACAAAGGGCTTCGAAAACAGCCTCGAAACAAAACAAGGCTAGTCAAAACATTTTGAAAGTTTCAAATGTTTCAACTTTTGAAGCAGCCAGCAGCGAGGTGGTGGGAGACAGGGGAGAACCAGGGGAGAACCAGGGCCGCGCTTCCAGCAGCCCTGGCTCTCCCTGTCTCCCGCCGCCGGGCTGTGGGAAGCCGATCACAGCACAGCGGAAGGGAAGTGAGCCTGGGCTCAGTTCCCCTCCCAAGTGCTGTGATCGGGGTGGGGAAAGGAACTGAGCCCAATCACTCAGTTCCCCTTCCCAGCCCTACGATCAGGTTGGGGATGGGAAGTCAGCCCAGCCCAATCTAGCTGGGCTGACTTCCCATCCCCCGTGCTAAATCGGGCTGAGGATGGGAAGTCAGCCCATCCCCAGCCCAATCTAGCGCGATGGTTGGGCTGAGTTCATGTCCCCAGCCCGATCGTGGGGCTGGGAACAGCCCAGCTGGGCTGAGTTCCTTTCCCCAGCCTGATGGTCGGGCAAAACATTGAAACAATGTCGAAACAGCCTCACTGTTTTGACAAAGCAAAATGGAATAGCTGTTTCATCTCAAAATGAAATTTGAAAGAAAACACTGTTCTGTCCAAACCTCAAACCTGAAGTCAAAATGGAACAGTGCCGTTTCGCACAGCCCTAAGCAAAAACCACAGAAAAAATGAGAGAGAGCAGAAACTGCACTACTCTCTGCAGGATGCCACTGTGGCTTTTGGTAGGTCACAGAAAAACACAGATTTTTGCTGTTTAAGTGGTGATTTTTTTTCTTTTTTCCCCACAGCAAACTAGAATTCCCGATCATGACCATTGAAAAAGTTTTTACCGTCAGTCCCACTGAAAATCTGTTCTAGTAAACCGTTTCAATAAATTAATTGCTTCTTTCCTGCTACTCATCAGCATCCCCATTCAAGAGACCCATCTTTACAAAAAACACTTGGGGTATGTCCAGATGACCGTGAATGTGTGATTTGTGGTGCTGCAAACCACACACACCACACATGCATGCATTTACTGCACTGCTAATTTGCAACGTGGCAGGTTTTTTTGATACCAGGAGATCCTGATGTAAAAAAATAGTGCACCAGAAAAAACAACCATGTCAAAAACCATCTGCGCCACCCAGAACCAGACCCTGGCCAGCTGCCCCAGGAAGCCCCCAAAATTCCAGATAAGGCTGCTGGGGCCCACCCAGGTGCTGGCCCCAGCCTCCCCTACCCCACCTGGAGTAACTTGCCTTGCACCAGAGCACATGTGCAGGGTCTTTTCCTGGGAACAACTAGCAGCAGCACATATTTGTGCTTCCCCAGGGAAGCACACATCCCTGCTCATGGGGATGTACCCTTGGGTTCTGGCCAGCCTTCTGGAGACTTTATACATGCAAACGGATCTGTAACCAGCAGTAGCAAAGATAGATGTGGATGTTCAAAACTGTATCACCTCTAGGACATTCGCAGTTGTTTATTATGATCATTATCATTATTAGAGGGCCGCATGTGTGCAAAATGTTTTCGAGAGAAAAAAATATCACTGTCCTCAGCTCAAAACACTTCCCATTGAAGTATGGTCCCACAGAAGCTTGGAGCCAGCTTAAGAGAAACTGTCTTCCTTTGATGCCTGACCTGGCATTCTAGCTCCATCACTTTGTGAACAAGAAGGATGGGTAGTGACCAAGATAAAGCAAGATGAAGTCCCTCCTCTTTCTCGTTCCAATAAAAAAGAAAAAGCATCTTCTAAAACTATGACCCCTCCTCCAAAAGTAACAACAACAGTAAACTCACCTTGTGTGCTGAAGCCTGCTGTTGTGTTTCTCTCCCCCAGGCTGGATTCGGACACTTGTGGATCTGTCCCAGTCACCTGAAATTATTTAATAGAACAGCGCATCAATCTGCAGACTACTTGCCTAACAAACACAGAGCTGAAGTACATTGCTGTGGATCTAACACCTCCATCTAGTAATGTGAAACAGCTATTCGTATAAGTTGCTGTTAAAATCAGTAGACAGTAATTTACAATGTCTTTGGGTCAGCAGTAGGTGCAGGGTAAAGGAACAAGCAAAGAGCAATTGTTGGATTTCCCAGAATCTACAAGCTAGATTTATCTTGGGTTCTGGCTAACATTATAAAGCTAAATGACTGCAGTGCTTAAAACTAATGGCCCTATTACAACAAGTCTCTTTCCTCAGTAGCCTGTATTTTTCCCTATTCTGCTTGCCTTTCTAGTTGAGTTTATGACAGGGACATAGCATTATGTCCCCATAACGGTGGTAAGAAATCCACAGACAGGCCTGAAAAGTACAAATGCAGAGCATACTTCCTGATCGCTGTTGGCTGTGACATTGACACCTGGTGTTATCCTGAGCTGTTCATCCTCTACCTCCAACAATGCCAGCATCCCTATGAGGTGTCCTAAGGTGGCTGACAGGGGGTGCTCTCCAGTCTTCGGCAGCTGAAGAAGGGAAACCATTCTGAGATCTCATTCTTTTGCTGAAGTGGCGTGGATTTATGTAGGAAATGTGTCTAGTTCTTAAGAATTAGACAAATCAACCCTGGTGTGCATCAGTGGGAGAACAGAACCAACTCTGGACCTTAGATCGACATTCTCAGATGAGATGATGTTTCTTGCCAAGGATAATATCAAACGATGCAATAACAGCAGACAGAGCTGAGCAACAGTAGCATGGGCCAGACACATGATAGGGCATCTTGAGTTTCAGCTTTTCATTGTTGGATGGACGCTGACTAGCATTTCCTGCTTTCTCCATTTATTTCCTCCTTCTGCCCCTCTGCCCTGAACACCAGGACTTGCTTCACTCTAAGTCTAATATCTTTACCCCTACCTTTCCTTGGCTCAGAAACCAGTCCTGAAATAATAATAATAATAATAATAATAAAACAGCTCAAATATTGCTCAGAAGTTAATGATCAGTCATTTATGTCCGCACCAGTGTTTAGGCAAACTCCAATCCAGGTAATTATATTCTGTCTGTGCTAACAAACTTCTCCAGTTTCATGCAAGCCAGCTGAAGGCATTGTGAAAATTGCAGTGCTTCATGGTAATAAGGAGGAACATTTTTTTTTCTCTGAAAACAGATTGTGGGCAGAAGCCTGCAAAAGGATATACAGTGAAAAACCTGATTTACTTCTAAATGACCAAGGAGAGGTAGGATTAAAAAGCTATCCATTTACTTAAGGCTTGATAAAGGGTTTATCACTCCTGATTCAGGTAAATTCCTGCCAGAGATTTCTCTGCAAAATTGTCAGGAGGGACTGAAGCACAGAGAAATTATACTAAAGAGGAACATTTACCAAATCTAGACAACTCATTAAAGACTTGACCCAGAGCCTACTAAAGTCAGTAGCTCTGGATCAGTTCTTGCTTATTTCTAATCCCTCTCAGATTTGAACATTTATGTGAGAAACTGCTGTTGAAAAAGAAAGCTGAATAAATATATGGTACCTATAAATAAAACAAGAATACCAAAATACGCACTAAGACAAGGTCTGGAGGGCACAAGATGGATGTCATCTTAGCAGAAAGCATTACTTCTGCTTCTGTATGACTGAATTTAACTAGCAGAAGTTCATTACAATAGGTGACAGGGCCTGGAAATAATCATCAATCACCTGTGAGCAAGCTCTTGTGTCAAGGGCTTAATTTGTATATGGCGCTCTCTAAAATTGAATATGACATTACTACACTAAAGCTATTAAGAAAAGCGCTTTCATTTCATGTGCGTTTTAAATTATAATATATATCTTACACAGAAGGAAGCAAGAGGCAAAGGGTTCTGTTGTACAGTTCGACTTTAAAAAGTGATTTTTCTTTTAAATAAAAGGTTTTGTGAATAAAAGCATCTACATAAAAAATGATACCAGAAATAGTCAAGCAGATAGAGCTGATGTGCTGGGATGTTGCAGAATAAATCGACAGTTAAAATGATAGGGTGTTCTCTTCAAATGATCTACTTATGTTTTATCCTTAAAAAATCTTTCTTCTCTGCATATAGAAATAGAAGATCTCATTTGCTGTGTGAGGATGAGTATTAATGTGATGGCTCAAAACTATCATCCATATCACTCTTGAGCCTTCACCTCTAAGGTCCCAATCCAGCAGAGCATTTATATTCATGTTTAACTTTGAATCAGGCCTAGAGATCAAGGATTGCACTGCTTCTTCTAAAATGACAGCATCCATCAGTAGCAGCACTAAGAGTTTTGCAACCCTCAACATGGCCCAGTCATCAGACGAGGACACAAAATAATACAGAACTTGCAGGTTACAAAAACTTGCTTTTTAAATGGCTGTTTTGAAAGCACAGGAACCAAGAGAACTTTCTCCTTGATATAAACTCTTGGCAACATAAACTATAGATGTTAAAGAAAAATCTGAGAGTCTATGAGATATTCTCTCAGAAGCAACAGATGATCCTCAAATGTCCTTTTTAAATTAAACACAATATTTAAGTTGAAGTAGAAAGTATATTATGTCTAAAATTACATAACTATTATTTGTGTTAGTCTTCAATCCTTATATTACTGGAGAAATCCTTTTTATGCTTTAAAGGCTTTCTAAGTAGGATTTGTTCATGTTGTAGATCATTTATAAAAAAATCCACCAAATGTCCATGCAAAAATGTTTAATGGCCTTATAAATTCTGCTCAGTGCAGTACATTGCAGTTTGTATTGTATCTGTAAAACGACTTGCATGTTTGGACAAGGCTGTTACTCTGATCAAAATAAATCTGAGCTAGACAAAGAGTAGGTATTGACTTTGAACTTCTGGGCTAAAAAATACCATTATATTTCATGTAGGTGTATGCAGTGCTAATTACAGATGCTAGAAAGGCAATTCTAAGAAATGAAGTTCTTCATTTATCCCTCCAACAAAAACAGTTTTGTGCAGGCACACAGAGTGTGAGCAGTGTCCTATCAGCATGCCTCAGACTTCCACATAGACCACATCCAGAGATGAGAAGAGAGCTCAATATCTTTGACATTTCCTCCCTCGACTTTTCTGGTTTTGGTTTTCCTGCACTCAAGTTTCTGCTTAGACAGGCATTGAGGATGACAACTGAAGTGTTGAATTTTCTGATGTATGAGAACAGGACCACCAAGTTTATTTGACTTAGGCCACAACAGCCATGGGCTGACACAGATGTTTGGCCCCCATTGCCATCAGGGGGATTCAAGCTAGCAACTTGTGTGCAGTTGGCTATACGCTCTGTGATGGCCTGATCTGGGCCAGGACTTCAGCAGATTGTGTGGCAGAACTATGCCCTGCAGACTCTCTTTTTCAACCTGCAAGCTGGAGTTCTGAAGCTACAGAAGCTGTGTCGTCTCAACAGCTTCAGCAGAGAATCTGCTCTACATTTCCTGCACCTGAGAATTAAGACTTTCCCATTACAAGGGACATTATGGTAAACTTGAAGAGGAGGCCTCCATATCCCCTTACAAATCTCGTGCACTCCTAGCTCCTAGTTATTTTAAAATTATATTAAGGTATTCTAATACAAATATAGTATGCCTGCAGTTTTGGCTATAAAAGAAAAAACTTTGAGAATACTGAGAAAAAGGCCTGTCATTCACTAGATCCCTTTTTCTGAAAGGGCCTGTTATATAATTTCATAGATAGCAGCAATATAAAGATGAGGTCTTTTCCTGGTGCGCCCCTAATCACAGAAAAAAAGTGTGCAGGATCAGACTTGTAAGCTATTTCTAACTTCTTGCTCAAAGCACCTTCTTGGACTCAGACACTAGATTTTTCATACCAGTGCTCATCTCCAGCCTGTTGAACATTTCTCATGTATTCTGACATGTAGTCAGGATGGAGCTTGTACAGAGCACATTCTAGAAACCTGACAGTTCAGCCATGGCAAGAAGGTTAAAATCAATATTTCCACTGGTGCAGTGCATTGGCTGCTAACTCTGAGACACTTCTACCTCTATGTAGAATACAGATCAGGGGCAGGCAATTATTTTGGCTGGAGGGGCATTTAATGAGCTTTGGTGAGCTATCAAGGGCTGTAAGGGTAGCCCCACTCCTTGACAAGTGCCCTGCTCCCTGGTCGACATCTTGGGACTGGAAGTCCTGCCCCCTGACCCCTGAACTTTGCCACTGGTAGTCCCTCCCTTTGCCCCCAGAAATACTCCTTTTGGGAAGGGGGTTTGACATCTTGGAACCAGAAAAAAACAACAAATTACCTACTAAAAATCAAACATCCACAATAACATATTTTAATTTTATTTTAAATATATATTTTCTCTTCATTTGTGTGCATTTGTGCTGTGTATATAGACATGATTTCATAATAGCTCAAAATGAAGTCTTAGTCTTGTATACTGGGGGAAGTGTGGGGGGTATGGGTGGGTGTGACTGTGGGTGGGGAGGTATGGGGTTTGTAGGGGGCTGTGGGTGTGTGGATGTGGTATGTGAGAGACTGTGTGGGGGTACGTGTGGATGTGGGTGGGTGAAAATGGGGGGTTTGTAGGGCTGTGTGGATGTGTGTGTGGCTTTGGAGTTTGTGGGGGGCTGTGGGGTGTGTGGAAGGGGAGGGTGGTGGGGGTGTGTGCATGTAGGAGTGCAGCTCCCCCAAGAGGCATGTGGGTGTATGCAAGAGATGTGGGGGTATGGCTGGGTGAGGTGTTTGTGGGGTGTGCGCTTGTGTGTGGGGCAGGGTGTGGTTGCAGGGTTTGTAGGGGAGGGTTTGAGAGTATGTGAGGTATGTATGGGAGCTCCCCACGCACAACCCCCTGAGCCGATCAGCACCTGCCATTGCCCCCGCCCTGCAACAGCCCAGAGTCCAGAGCCCATGCACCACCACAAGCAGTGCACAGCCCCATTCCCGGCCTGTGCC